ATGTAAGTAGCTTGCTCTGATCAATGAATGCCACAGTACGGTGTTCAGTACTGATATATGTAGGTAGCTTGCGTTGATCAATGAATACCACAGTACAGCGTTAAGTTCTGATATATGTAGGTAGCTTGCCTTGATCAATGAATGTAGTTTACAATGAGCTGTTATTATGTACTACCTCATAAGAGTGTAAGCGTTGCACCAGAATTCAATTGAAGATTCGATTGTGTGGAACCTGTTTACTCCTCTAATATTTTTCACACACAATCAAATTGCCAATATTTAATTCATTTTCATTCTATCATAATGAAGTAGGAAACGTCCATGAACAGAAGAGATGCATACGTCATCAATTGAGCGTACAATGATACTGTTACGTCTCCGTTTGTTAATTGATTTTTCCGTAACTTCGTTCCAACGAAACTTTAACGACACAAGTCTTTACTTTATAAAACTGGTTTATTCTTTCCGAATATAACTTTGCGATACACTTAATCTCAATACTCGCGCTAAAACAACACTGTAACGAACGAACGTTAACTTCAACAAAACCCTGTGACTGCAGTTCAATTACTCACTATCTACCCACACATTACATTCCCCTCTTTTATATACCAGCCTACCCTATCTAGCAAATACTAGAGCATTCGCCAAGATACGGATAGTTCTAGAAACAAGAGGGCATGAGAATTGTCACGTGATCTCGATGACGCAACAATATTTGTGTTTCATTGCAGCCATACTTTTGTTTATTGTGCCAAAAAAATGGTGAGGATTGCAGAATGAACTTTGTACATTTGGCGTAAACTATCATGCCTGGTCACATTCCTCTCATTATAGGCAAGATTTATGTTGGAATTCAAAATTTAAGCTCTCAAGTGTATTGAGACCCCAACTATGAGAATGTCACAGCTTTCCTGTATTACTGAGATGAATGTATTTAGTCTGTTTCACAACCAACATAGAGGTTTTATTGTAGTCCATTGTACACTGAATTTTAAGCCATTTGCAGAATCTAAGAATAAACT